CCTATTAAACACCCGTATGGGCTGTCTGCGCGGGTTTACAGGCTTGTCTCGCAAACTGCTGTCCGGACTGCAAGAACGGGGCCTCTCCGCATCATTCTTGGTCACATCAGTCGACCTCATGGATATTGGCGATCCACTGCCCAACTAAGGAATGGTATACGTCTTGTTGTTCTTCACTTAGTTGTTCCCAATCAAACTGAAGATTGTTCTGGTACAGAAAAAAGGCTGCCTGCGCAATAGCGATATCATGTTCAGATGGTTCCGAAGGCTGTCCTGGCATGTTGTCGTCCAGGTAATACCCAAGAATTGGGTTATGGACAGGCGAAATATTCAAGGTTGGCCAAGAGGAAGAGGAAGCCGCAGCAGCTGCTGCATTCCATGCTACACCTAAGGTGGCCTGTGATTGACTGGGCCCACTTCCCAACATGTAAAGGCCTTGAACCTCGGACGGCTGAAGCCCCTGTGTGATTTCTTGAGGGTCTCCAAAACGTTCAAGATAATCTTCACGAATATCATGTACCCCCCACAAGAATGCATCCGAAGCAACATGCCATGCCCAGACCTCTGGCGAGTTTGGGCCCAGATATGCCATCAGCAGGGGTCCATTCAAGGACAGGACATCCCTCAGCGTCGCATCCAGCCAATCCTCGCTGTTTGAAGGCGGTGTAAGATCCTGGTAAGGTGCGGCATCAGGTCCAGAATGTTCAAGCGAGTCTGACTCAAGTGAATCATCCGACGTAATGCTCTCGAGCTCATCTTCTTCCCGAGGCGGCGTCGGAACCACACGGTCACCTGGTTCATCTGCAGAAGCACTTGACCGGGCTCGAAGCTCAAGCAAAGGGTCGTCGGGAGGCCCTAAACCAAAAGTCTCAAGGTTTGGGTGGCCAGGCGGGGCCTCCTTAGGGACCGTAATGGGTGAAGGACCTAAACCAAAGCTGCTAGGGTTCGGGTGATCCGGCTGGACCTGCTTAGGGATAGCGGGGTCGGGAGGACCTAAACCGAAAGTCCTAGGGTTCGGGTGATCCGGCTGGACCTGCTTAGGGATAGCGGGGTTGGGAGGAGCTAAACCGAAAGTTCTAGGGTTCGGGTGATCCGGCTGGACCTGCTTAGGGATAGCGGGGTCGGGAGGACCTAAACCGAAAGTCCTAGGGTTTGGGTGATCCGGCTGGACCTGCTTAGGGAGCCCCGGGGTTGACAAGTCTAAGCCTCTAGGATTTGGGAAGCTCGGCTGAGCTTTCCCAGGTGCCCTTCCTGCAGACAGCAAGACGTCAGGTCTGACTGCTGGCATCGCATTGCAAGGACCGGAATCAAAGGCAGGAACAGTATTAAGATTAGGCTTCGTATGCTTGGCTTTGGGCGGAGCTGTCGGAACCAAGCTGGGAGGTGGAGCAGCAACGGTTGGAGACTTCGAAGGAATTTCCCTACAAACAGTAGCCACACCTTTGGCCTTCGGTGGAGCTGCCTGACTCAAACTTGGAGGCGGGATTGCGAGAGTTGCAGACTCGGAAGAGTGCTCATCGGCGAACACTGCTCCCCCGTTTTCATGCTCCCCTACTCTGTCAACCCTTTCTAGCTCTCTAAGTGCACGGTCAGACATGTCCTTCAGGACTTGTATGTGTGCTTTATGCCTCTGTCCTTGGAGAAACAACCCTATCAACCCAAACACTACAACCACCAAAGTAAACATTGCCCACCCAAATGCCTGCAAACTTTCAGAAGCTCTCTGATCTGGCTGAGCCTTGGCTTGGCCCACCAAATTGCTCGCAATCAGCATCTTCAACAGTGGTGCAGACGCTTTAACGCCAGCAACGTTCCTGTCCGCTTGAGGTTCAAGGTTTGTCCACCCAGCGAACTTCAACAACTCCAGCATCCTCACGCGCGTCAACGCCTTGGTTAACGCATCGGCGAGCTGGAATCTGCCCGGAACATGAGCAATTACAAGTTCTTCGGCTTCAACAAGTTCTTGGTAAACTTTGGACCTCAAACGAAGATGTTTTGTGCGCCAATTTCCAGACGGATATATCAAGACTGCTGCGCAGGCGACGCTGTCCGTGTACGCATACCAAGCAGGTTTCGACCCCAGCGACTCCGACCACAGCGGCAAAAGGGCCTGCGTTAAGGTTAGTCCTTCACATGCTGCAATCAACTCGCTCTCACACGTCGACAGCGTCGTGAACGGCTGAGTAAGGCTCAACCACCCCACCACGCAACCTCCAGCGGTGACAATCACGCCACTCTGGCTCCGACCCGATTCAACTCCAAAGCTGGCATCAGTGAAGGTCTCCACAACGCTGCTTTCACGCTGCCTCAACAAGTGTCCCTCAAGCTCTGGATCTGTCGGCCCCCCATAGTGCAGGCAGTATGCTCGGGTGTGTAGCAAATACCCAATCACTTGTCTTGCTGCCCTGATTGCAGCTTCGGGACGTCTCGACAGCATTCGGGCAATCTTTGACACGCTAAAGGAAATGTCTGGCCTCGACCGGCAAGATATCCAAGTCAACTCGCCTGCAAGGCCCTGTGCTTCCCGGATCTTCTCAAGGCTTGCTCCCTCCTCTTCTTCATCTTCTTCCTTAAACATCGGAAGGGAAACTGATCTCGAGGATCCATGCCTTGACTCAAGCTCACTGATGTACGATGCCTGGTGTATCTCAAGTGCAAAGGTCTCAGGATTCTGGTCGATCTCAAGGCCGCAAAAGGTAACCCGTCCCTTCGTAGAACGTTGCTCAGGGGAGCAGGTCCACAACGAGCAAATGGCCTCAAGCAACGCATTGGCCTCAGCCTCCTCCGATGACAACAACAAGTCATCAACGTATACGCCAAGCATGCCGAGTGGTGGCTCGTTTGTAACCACAGTTCCCTGCACAACACGCCTCACAAACCAGATAGAGCAATCACAATCTGACTGAACAAGCTTTCGGAACTCCCTACCCACATGCCAGTTAAGTTGGGAAAGTTTTTTATCCCTGTCGGTGGACCAGTCACGCGGGCTCTGGTGGAGCCCATATAACGCCCTGTCCACCCGGAACAACTGCCCCGGTGGAATCAGGCCTGCCTCAACCAATATGCGCGCGGCTTTCACAACGATTGTCCTGCTTTGGCGCCCGCCGCCGATTGGGGCCGTGAGGAATGCCGTTTTGACATCCACCGATATCAGCATCCACTTTCGGCAACTAGTCATGGCAAGCTGAAGGCGAAGCGACAACGAATCCAACGAAGATGTGAACACATCGGTCCTGGACAAAGTGGGGCTCTTCCTGGTTTTTTCTCTGTTAAGGAAATTTCCACACGCCACCAAACGAATTTTCTTACGACCCGTCCCTGCCTTAATTGTGGCCACAATTTTGCTAGGAACCCATAAAACCTCGACACCACTTTTTTCTAGCTTCTTCACTTCTTCGTAAGTAATGGGGTATATGGCGTTATGGGTATCCAACAAGGAACACAATTCATCTTTCATCGGGGGTTTCCAGCTTTCAAGATCTCGCAAAACCTCTTCAAGTGGAATGGCATGGGTGTGCATGACTTCAGGCGATATGTCAGGACCACCCTCTTCGGTGGCAACGACGGCCAAACGCGGAAGGAGACAACCACTTTGCTCCCCTTGGAGTTCAACAAGTTGACCCTCTAACTCGCACAGCCGTCGATAGGACTCCTGAAGTGCTCCGATCGTACCCTCGCCTTCCCCATACGCAATTTCATGCTTCATGGAGTTTTCTTCCTCTCTCACAACAGACAAAAGGCTAACCCTCGCGCTGTCAAGTTCCCTGATTAGCTCCTCAACGCCTTGCTCATCCTCCTGCTCACCTGCATCCCAAACGTCTGGTGTGTCTTTGGGAAGGTTATCAAACCACCTTTTACCACCGCCATCATCACATGCCTCAAGTCTTCGGACGACCGGGAGCTCTCTCCCTTCATCAGTCACATCCTCCTGAAACATTGCTGGTCGGAAGGCTGGCTCTTCATCCCCCTCCTTCTCATTGCACCCCTGTTCACAAACAACAGCTTGCGCAAGTGTGACCTCCTCTGGTGCCTCGGGGGCTATGGGTCTATCAACCTTATTCACACCCCTTAGGGCCCTTATCTTGGGTCTTACTGGACA